CAGTTAAAGTATATGTTTATCATATAAAGTCTAATGTTACAAATATTCGGGGATCCCTTTAAAACTCAAAAAGTTCAGGGCCAATCAAGCTTTAACATCATCAAGACATGACAGCAAGGTTTTAAGAGAACAGGCGTCACTTTTCTTCAAAGGGACATGTATCTGGCTGTCATCAGCATCACACTGAAAAGCAACGCCATGTTTTCTGAGGATAGACCCAAGGGGAAGCATATACATGGAGTAAAGCAGAGGACCCAGAACCGAACCCTGTGGAACCCCATATAAGAATGGAACAGTAGAGGATTCACAAGGCCAACAGACATAGTCCTGTCTGCCAAATAGGACTTAAACCAGTCCAGGGCACTTCCACCAATGCCCACTAACTGCTGAAGACGATTCAACAGAATGCACTGGTCTACAGTGTCAAAGGGAGTGGTCAAGTCAAGAAAGACAAGAACAACATAGTTGCCACTATCATTCACTATTAAAATGTCATCAAAAACTTTTAGAATGGTGGTTTCTGTGCTATGCAATGTTTTAAAACCGGACTGAAAAACGTCTGTAATGTTGTGCTCCTCAAGAAAAGATTTTAATTGTGTGTAGACAATTTTCTCTAGGATTTTAGAAAGAAATGGGAGCTTGGAGATGGGCCTGAAGTTTGCCAGAACAGTGTTGTCAAGCCCTGGCTTCTTCAGCAGAGGTTATACTACTGCATGTTTGAAGCAGATGGGGACAACACCAGAGGACAGGCTGCTGTTTATAACAGTCAGAACCGTCTGCCCAATAATAGAAAATACCTGTTAAAACAAGCAGGGAGGGACCACATCATGAGGAGAACCAGATGATTTCATAGGCTACCAGACCCTCCAATGAGACAGAGTCGCTGGCTCAAATTGATTTAACACCACTGGGCATGGACCAGAGACAGGGTAGAAGCAAACTTCTCAGTGAAAAAGTGAAGAAAACTGTTGCACACATCAATGGATGTTTCCAGACATAAAGACTGTGGGACACTCAGGACAGAGTTAATCATTCTGAACAGTACACAAGGATTTTTACAGTTTTCTTTAAAAATATTTGATAGATTTACTCTTTTAGATTCTTTGACAGAACTTTGATAGAAACACCAGTGGTCCTTTAAAATTTGAAATGAAATCTGCAGCTTGTCCTTCTTCCTAACTACTCGATCGTACTGCTGGTTAGTGGACACAAGGACACACAACTGAACTCGCGTTTTATACCAGTAAAGTACCAGGAGCTAACGCTAAAAGCATAGGCAGTAAGCAGGGAGTGGAAGGGAGGAGCGTGGCAAAAATTTTACCGGAAATACGTCATTAATGACCGTGGCATATGGGATATTGTACGTCCACCCTAAATGGCTGAATCCTGTGGCTTTGGGCTGATCCTGGGCTGAACAGAATCAGCCCCAATGAGCCACAAACCGAGGGGGCGTGGTGAGACGCCTGTCAATCATTCTGAACCAGGACACACATTACATGAAAATGGGCTGTGAATAGTCAGCCCTGCAGAACGACACTGGGATCTTTACAGGTGGTTTGGCACCAGTTTTTGTTGTAAATTTCACAAAATAAGATACATTATTTTTAGATTGTGTTTATT